TTGGCGTGTAGCGACCCGTGTCAGTAGAGGACAACTGGAGATGCTGAAGAATCCATCCAAGGCGCTACTTGACAAAGGGAATGATCCCCTTCACAAGGCGACAAGGCAGCTTGAGGACGAAACCAGTCACCTCGCACCACATCGGCAGCATGCCCCCACGTGGGCGCACGTGGTCCTGTCCCCTTAGCCTAGTATAAATACTCATGTAAACCTCAGAAAGAGGGATCCGAATTCATTCTCTCTAAACTCCCTTGTAAAAGCACCCGTGCATTCTCCGTTATAATATAAATTGGGTTACAGGTGTTCCACCTAAAATCCTACCGGTCAATTTGCGTGTTTTTACCTTTCTTACTTTGCCAAATCAAGCGAACTATTCTAGACCCGGTCTAGTATAGTTTGACCGGTCAAGTAATTTACACCATCACAAACTAATGGGCCGGCCCAACAGACTAGGCCGCCTTTTAATAAATAATCGACATACAACTAACGGGCCGATCCAACAGACTGGACCGCCCCGACTAATATTATACAGAGACCGGATACCCCCTGTCCAGGGTATCCATCAGTACCAAAATACGACTTTCATGTTTTTATTCTCGAAATAAGATTTCACACTGTGGTAATGTGGCACTGTACCTGTGCACATTACTATATTTTTTTGTAATGTATATGATCATATTTGGTAACGTAAATGCATTTTAACTCTTATTTCGGAAATAAAACATGCAAGTCTTATTTTGGTATATTTTCAATATTTTAATCTTACTCTTGTCTTTTTTCCCAAATATTCTCACTTTTCTACATGTGTGCGAGTTCTGGGTCAGCGTTAAGAAACTAACGGATACTTAACGTAATTTTCTAAAAATACATGTTTTTTCTCAAATAAATAAAAAGTGAGATTATTTTACGTAAATTGACTTTTTTTTCATTTTTAATTTAAAATTTATGTTTTCGGTGTCCTCAATTTTTTCAATGAAATTTTTTTTCACATATAGTTTCCTCAATGATTGATTTTTTCAAGCAATATCTAATAAATAGAGAATAAATGTAAAATCATTTACTATAAAGGACTACTTATGAAATTTACTTCTTTTTAACCAATATTTTTACATTTTAAATCAACTTTTTTCATAAAAAAGATCAAATTCGTTTCTTTTAATTTTTCAATGTTTTCTGAATTCTAAAATACAATATTTGTGAGTTGATGGAACCGAAAAGAAACAAACTTGTTGGAAAAAAAGAAACCAGATCAAAGAGGAAAAAAATAAAAGTTAGAATTTTAACTAATCATTTAGAGACATAATTGAGAATAATATGTTAAAACATTAATAAAAAAGTAATAGAAAGGAGTAATAGTTTTGATCTAAACAAACAAAAAAGGAGATATTTTTTACGAAATAATAAGCAAGATTTTACTATATAAATTTTATTTTTAAATTTTACCCTATAATCAAATAAATTAAATTAAAAATAAAGTTGGTCAAGTCCCGTAATGCGTAATGAGAAGTCTTAGGTGGATGGAGGGAGTATTAAATTTGGAAGTATCGAACTTCCCTTCTGGCTTGAGTGACACGAAACTCACTCCTCAAGATTCATGAAAAAATTCACCCAGATTCGAACCCTAGCAAAAGTGGAGGTGTTGGCTTTTTGTGCATCAATATCATTTAGTATTGACACACAAAGAGTATTGGTATAGAGTCAATAGCATTTAAAAATATTGAAAGTATTGGTATAAATAGAAAATGTTGAATTAACGATGTAAAATTTTCAAATTATTTTTCTTTTACCTCAAAATAAAGTTTTACCCCTTAGTCTTAAAATAAAATTACATTTACTTATAGGTTAAGGAATGAAATTTTTTAACTTAAAAAAAGTACGCGATAAAAAAACTTTAAAGTGTTTTCCGGAGTATCTAGTGTAACGTGTACTCCTCGAGTCCTATTTGGGATGAAACTTATCATAATTTGTCCTACATGAGTGTTACTTGTCATTGAATAGATAGTGATTGGACAATGCGTAAATGTGTTCTTGCATTTTGTGATTTTAATGAATCTCACACGGGTGATAATATCGTTCTTTTTCTTGTGCGTATTCTCAAAGAATACAATTAATTTAATAAAGTGTTTGCATTTGGTATTGATAATGCTACTAATAATACTGCTTACATTCCTAGACTTAATGAAATTTGCCCCCTAGCACTGCCATGGGTAGATTTCTGCACCAAAGGTGTATCTGTCATGTTTTAAATTTGTTTGTTCAATAGGGCTTATTAGCAGCTATGGGGGGATTTTGACTAATATTAAGGGTGGTTTAACAAAGATTTAGGCTAGTCGTATTCACTCGAAGGCATGGAAGTCTTTTTGTAAATCTAGGAATAAAAAACCAATAACATATGCTAAGGACATTACGATTAGATGGAATTGTACACATAAATTGATTTCACATATTCTGGACTATAAAGAGGAACTTGGTTCATTTCGCCGGTATGAACTTCATCATATGGTTGATTTGAATGATTTTATTCTTGTTGAAAAATTTGAACACCGTGTTAGAAAGTAAACGGAGTTTTATACGGTAGTGCACCAAAAAAGGTTTTAAAAGGATAGTCGGTGGCCTCTTGTTGAAAAAGGTTAGCGTAGTTCTACCTCGATGAGTTCAGGTGGTACAAGTGCAATTAAGTTTGCACAATGAACTTGCGATTTACCAAGGGTCCCATGCGACTACATGAAGACAACGATATCGAGTTCGACATCCTCGAATGGTGGAAGCGGAATGAACACATGTTCCTACCTCTCATAATGCTAGCCAGACAAGTCTTATCCATGCTAGTTTCGATCGTAGCTATGGAACAAAAGTTTAGTTCTAGCAGCAACATTCTAACCGACTACCAAAGTTGTCTTAGCGCTAAATCTCTCGAGACACTTATTTGCAACCGAGATTGGCTCTTGGAAAGACATTGAGCTCAAGAGCCAGGGTACAACATTGATACACAAAATTACATTGATGCAGCCACAGAGGGAAGCGGTAGTTCTGAGGAATAAATTTGTATTTTTATTTATATTTTAATTAGTTTTTTAGGTGAACAATTTTTAAGCGCATTCGAAGATTTCTTTACAGTTCTTTACCTCGTCGATTTTTTGAACCATCAAGATATTAAATATAGTTGTGTTTGTACTATTCATTTTTCATTATTTAAATAACAAATTCATTCTTAGAGATTATAATTTATAAGAACATTTAATTTATTTTACATTGACAGACTTACAACTAAAAAATGAGAACTGCCGAAACCTGTTCCTGAACTGCCGGTTTTGGAAGTTCCGACACTCTGTCAACTGGCACCAGTAACGGTGCTAAGTGGCAGCAGTATCAGAATGGAAGGTTTCAGAACCGAAACCGTACTGGAACCGTACCGTGTCCACCCTTACCCTCACCTTGTCCCTTATAGAGCTCTATAATAGGGATTCCGATATAATAGGGCCCTATAATAGGGATTTCATACCGATCGTGAGTGAAAACACATATAGTTATATCGCCTTAAATTTTGTAAAAGTTTTGATCTTGTTTTTAAATATATATTTTTTATTATTTAGTATTACACAAATTATCATATACTCCGTAAAATTATTAAATTTCATTTCATTCAAACATTGTAACGAGAGGAAATTTGTGGATGGAGGGATTATTTATTAAAAACTTTCATAAACTAATAAAAATTTGAAAAATTATTTAAAATTTGGTACTTTAAATTCTTTAAAAACTTTTTTAAAAAAAAACATTAATAATTTGAGAAAATAACATAATTTATAGATAATTCAATGTAATATAATTGAATATATAATTGACATCACTATATTGTTCTACTTAAAAATATTCAATCACCTAAATTCATGTGTAATTTTTAAGATTAATTCAAGTCCAGGCAAAAATATCGTAAATGATAAATTTGAATTAATAAGTTTTTGAATGAATAAAAGGAAAAGAAGAAAATAATTGAAATATAAGAATTAAAAAAGGATAAGTTTTCATTTCTTTTGAAATCCAGGTTTTTTTGTTCTTTAATCCTTTTTGACATCAAAAGTTTCCTTA